ACAAAGGAAAGAACGGCCGATTGAATCGGCCGTTCGCTTACCTGAGTAGCGATCGATCCAGCGGATCGGTCGTGGTTTTAGCTACCCTACACAAACAAAAGAAGAGGAGGGGGGGGTCAGCATGATCCCCCATCTCCTCATCGGCCCCAACCATCAGTGATGGTTGGGGCCGATGAGGCACCATCTTAAAAAGGAAAGAACGGCCGATTGAATTGGCCGTTTGCTTACCTGAGTAGCGATCGATCCAGCGGATCGGTCGCGTTCCTAGCTACCCTACACAAACAAAAGAAGAGGAGGAGGGGTCAGCATGATCCCCCATCTCCTCATCGGCCCCAACCATCAGTGATGGTTGGGGCCGATGAGGCACCATCTTAAAAAGGAAAGAACGGCCGATTGAATTGGCCGTTTGCTTACCTGAGTAGCGATCGATCCAGCGGATCGGTCGCGTTCCTAGCTACCCTACACAAACAAAAGAAGAGGAGGGGGGGTCAGCATGATCCCCCATCTCCTCATCGGCCCCAACCATCAGTGATGGTTGGGGCCGATGAGGCACCATCTTAAAAAGGAAAGAACGGCCGATTGAATTGGCCGTTTGCTTACCTGAGTAGCGATCGATCCAGCGGATCGGTCGCGTTCCTAGCTACCCTACACAAACAAAAGAAGAGGAGGGGAGGTCAGCATGATCCTCAGCCTCCTCTTCAGCCACATCCATCAGTGATGGTTGTGGCTGAAGAGGCAATAATCTCAAGGGGACAAAGATCCCATCACCATTGTCAGAGGCCAAAGGGGCCTGATCATCATATGAAAAAAGGAACAACTTACCGTTGGATTCCTTATGGGGCCAGGCTCTGGGTTCAAAGGAGCAGGGGGAGCTGAGCAGGAGTTTGGGTGATGGATGAGAGGCGGCTTTTTGATCAGGAAAAAGTGAGTGAGTGGTTGAGATGAGTGAGTCCAAATAAGAAAAAAAATTGTCTCAGAATAGATTCCATTGCCAGTACAGGCCTGTATAACACAGGGCTTTGACTGAACTTGAGACATGGCCTCAAGGGTCAACTGCCTGAGCCCTGGTTTCCTGATTCATTGGAAGTTCTTTGCTCAATGTTCTCAAGTGCCACGGATGACATGAATAGAGGCAATAATAAAGGAATTATAATTGCTTAAGTCGCCATTAAAACTATATACATGACAAGGTCAATCATGAAATCGTGACCTCAGCGCCTGGGTACCCAGTCTGACAACTGAGATCAGCCCCAGATCCTCATCCGTAGGGCCAGGTGTTGGTTCATTGGTTAGTCCAGTGTTACCAGAGGTGTGTCCGATGTTGCATGTGGATTGACTGATGTTGCTGGTGGATTGGTGGCTGACCCTGCTGGATTGACTGATCTCGCAGGCGGTTTGTGGGTTGTTGCTGGTGGATTGAGCAGTGTTGACGGTGGCTTGGCAAAAGTTGCCCAGGTCATTGGCAAAGTCGTCCGGGGCACTGGGTGGCGGGAACCAAGGGATTTCGACCAAGTCGGGTAGTTCAAGGGCTTTGCACACCTTGTTGCACTTGTGCTTCTCGAGAAATAATTCCATGTACTCTTTGGCATATTTATTCTTCCACATAGACCTGTGGATTCAAAGGGTATAGAAATTATGAGTGTCAAATACAGCCATAAATAGGACAGATGTATAGCACGTACTTGGTGTTCAAATCTACAATGTGTGGTTTGGAAAGAAGGGTACCGTGGCCTTTAAATTTTCGAATGGTGAGCTGGCCACGAGTATGATTATAGACCCAGTGTTGAAACGAGTGGAGCAAAAATTCGGTGGGAGAGCGAGGTTCACCGGTGAAGTAGACATCGTTTTCAATTGACAAAAGGCAAGTATAGCCGCCGGTGATTTCTTCTTCCATCCAGAACACTCGAGATGGTTCATTGTCAATATTGACGGACCGGAGAGGGTAGTTGGGTTCTTCAGTGGAATCAAACATATCATCATCCTGACCAGGAACGTATTTATCCTCATGTCTTGGTCGAGTAAAGATGTCATGGTGAACAGGAAATCCATCGACAATCTGATGGGTAGTTGGTCAGACCAATAAATTTGTAGAGGATTTGAATAGCAGACACACTCACACGTAACCTTTTTGCCGTCCGCCCAATAATTGTCCCACCTGCCGACTGACTTATAGCCTGACAGAATTGAGCCAGGAATTGCCTGGAAACCGCATATGTCCTCAGCCAATAGTTTGGTACATATGCATATGAATCACATGTTAGATCCTTGCGGACTCGAGAGTATTCGGCTACCATGGGAAAAACCGTTCCAGAGTCAAAAACCTCGGCTGCTATGATTTTGGTCGTCTCTTTCACCTTGAAACATTTATTATAATTAACACGGTAGAGACAAATATTCTGAGGCATGTTGAGACCATCAGGATCCAGGGAGAAATCGAACTCCATCAACCCAGTCAGAGTTGTCGGCATCTCGGTATGACAAGGAGTTCTCCATGCTCCCAAATCTCTCCCTTGATAAATTGTTTGGATCCAAGATTGTTTCGGCTCGCCCTAATAACAAATTCTTAGTCACTTAAGTCAGGTGGTTATTTACAATAGTGACACTTACAAGGTGGGAGGATCCTAACAATCACAAGTTCATCGTCCAAGTTTCTCTTCAAGGCTTCAACATGGGGGTTGGTCTCTTGTTGAATGACTGAGGAGAATTTTGGCTGTTCATCGTGGTCGTTCCGAACCACCAGCTGAGAGGGAGGAGGAACAAGTGATTTATTCTGAGGTAAATTAGTGGTTGGAGTTGACCGGGTTGCTGATGATAAAGAAGGTAGACTTGGAGGAGGAGGTAAAGTTGATCGATTCTGGGGTAAAGTTGTGGTCGATGTTGAACCGGTTGCAGATGTGAAAATGGTCGAAGGAAGACTGGATTCAGAGCTGTCACTTTCAGCGTCTGAATGCAAATCTTCATGATATTCAGCGTCCTTTCCTGATCGGAGAGCATATCGTGCAGCTTGAGCGTCAATTCCTTCTTGTTCTTCTTCATCAAGGGTGTGCCGTTCAAAGGTGTCCCGGTCATAAATCAAGTCGATCGCCTTTTCCCGCCTTAAGAACTCGACAAACGATTCGTAATCTTCAACAGATCCTCCTTTCTTGGTGCCTAACCGACAAAAACTGAAGTGCTCGACACCGAACATTTCCCTGTCCTCAGTCATCTTTGTCCGGAGTTCCACTTTACCATTGAACTTGTTGCAGAGCGTGTCGATCAGCTCTTGAAAAGAATCAGGATTTGACCAGAGCACAAACTGATTGCTTCGAATGACCGATTGCGAAGGGGCATATTTGCCTCGGGCCCACATCTCAAAGCCACATTGGACCGAAATCTTATCGGGAGGATTCGTAGCAGGTAGGGCACCTTTACTTGCCGGAGCTCTTCTTGCAACTGTACGTCCGACTCGGTTGTTCGGGTAAGGTTGAGTTTTTGAGACTCTTGAAGCTCGGGCCGATTCATATGCAGGGTTCAAGATGGCTGGGACCACAGCTGTGTTGGTAGTAATAAGGTTACAGGTGAGTTACAACGTTTTCAGTAGAACTATATGGGATTTACACGCATGAAATTGCATACTTTGACTGCTGCTGGTGGATCCATTCACCACTGGGTTCACGGCAATAGGAAATGCCATGGAATGTGATGCTTGGGCTGATTCGTATGCAGGGTTCAAGACCGCAGGGACCACAGCTGTGGTGGGGTATTAGACAGTGGTAATAAAGTTATAGGTGAGTTTTAACGTTTGAAGTAGAACGATATGGGATTTACACGCATGAAATTACATACTTTGACTGCTGCCTGTCAATCCATTCACCACTGGGTTCACGCCAATAGGAAATGCCATGGACTGGCCGAGTGGGCTGGGGACAGTAGGTGTGGTGATTGGATTGGAGTATAACGCTCTGGCCCTTTGGATTGCCTCTTGCCGTTTAGATTGGAGAACCTCTTGAGCCGAGGTCAATTGGCCAGTTGGAGGTCTGATTTTGGGAGGAGGCGCTGAGTTTGGAATCATTTTGTCGACACAGTCGTTGCATAATCCACGGAATACCACGGGAGATTTTCCACACTGGAAACAGAACATCTTTTTTTCTATGCAAGTTACGTTAGTTGTGTTTGGCTATTAAGGGTGCATAAGTATGGGATTCTGCTGCTTACTCTTGATCTAGAAATGGAAAGGACTGGGTCGTCTTGATGTTGTGAGGACAGGCCTGGATCGTCTGGAAGCTGTAAGGGAAGGGCTGGATCGTTGTCTGGATGTGACTTATGCAAGGCTTGTTTTGTCCTTATGTGTAACGAGTAACGGGTAACACTATGGAACGAACAGAATCTACAGTGGCGCGCGGCATTGCACTGTGCAAAGCCGCCCGCAAAAGTTGATACATGGACGCGGGGTCAATCCTTACCCCCCACGGGGGTCCAACACACAGCTAAATGACATTTTTGGAGTCTACACAGTGTGTAGCATCCAGATTTAAAGCGGCGTCAAATTTCCTCCAGCCAATTTTTTTTTTTTTTTTTTTTGGCTCGACCTTTCGGACATGGCTCTCAGCGGGCCTCTAAAGGCAATAAGTATGGCTTTATACCTAACCTAAACCCATAGCTATTGTATAATACCATAGCTATGGATGTACAGTCTATCTATTAAACATCAAGTATGCACATATGTACATTCATAGCATCGTTGCAATCCAGAGAGGACCGAGTCGGTCATTTTCATCTTGGTTCTGTTGAGTGACAAGATTTATGAAGAGTGATCGATCGTTCAAGAAAACAAGAAAAATGAAAGAGTTGTTCAGAACAGAAGACAATCCAGGGAGAGGACCGAGTCGGTCATTTTCATCTTGTTTCTGTTGGGTGAGTGACAAGAATTATGAAAAGTGATCGATTGTTTAAGGAAACAAGAAAAATAAAAGGATCGTTCTGAACAGCAAAGCAAGAAATGTGTGACAGAATAAGGAAAATCAGCCGGTAAGAACATCGATTCGCATTGCAGCTTGTCGAGGAATACATCGATGAGATGTATACTTCTTCATCAAGATTTGCCCCTGAGGCCCATTGTATCCTTGCTCGTACACTGAGATTTGTCGATCGATTCGACGGAAATATTTGCGGATTGTTGTTAGCGGACAAGACTGCCGAACCTGGTTGAAGAACTCTTTGCAATCTGCAAAGGACTTGTATTTGTGACTTTCTTTTCGATATGCTGTATGATACATACACCCAAAGTAGCAGTAGGTTAGGACTGCTTGTTTCTTATCTTTTGATTGGTTGTTTGTTTGCTTACCTATCTTAATGAAAGACCAAAAAAGTTCGATCGGGTTGAGTTCACAGTGAAATTTGGGCAAAAACAGGCAGATATGGCCTGCATCCTCAATGATCGTTTGCAACAGAGGTCTTTCACACCGGAAATCAGATTGGAGGGATAGGATCTTGGACCAACAGCAAGCATTCTGGCTATCGTTTGTTTCGCTGACTTCATCGATCAGTGTCTGAGTGTCGATTGGCAAATCTTGGGGTAATTGAGTTGTTGAGATGGCTTCTTCAACAGATTGAGCCGGAGTCAAGAAATAGCCATTGGCCTCAGCTTGTCGAATCAGCTCTTCAGATTTTCGCATGATGTCTTTTTGGATGTTTGATGTCGCACAAGCTTTACATTGAAGCTTCAGGGCAGGTTGACCGGTCTCAATCATCTTTTGACTGTAGTAGCTCCAAAGCCCACGCTCCTCCAATATCGCTCGGATTCCTTTAGCTTTTCCCGGATGTTGAGGATGGGAGTGGTCGAATACACAAGTTTGAGGCTGTCCGCGCAGGTGGAACGGAATGCAGGGATCGTCGGTAGGGATTAAAGTATCTCTGAGTATCGACTGTTTTCCTCCAGGATTCAAGTTCATGTTTTGGACTCGAAGCGCGGATTTTGAATATGCTCCGTGAGCCGATGAGCAATCAAAGATAAAGATTGCCTGTGAGTTTGGATGAGTCGTTTCAAATATGGGAATGGCTTTGCGAGCAACTTGATGACAAAGTTGATCCATATCCCACCATTTGTCTCCATTGCTACCAGGATAGATCACTGTAGCTGCATCGTTGGATTCGGGTTTGGTACCGTTCTCGTTCTGAGACCGCCTGAATTCGTCTGGTGATAAGTGGAGCCGACCCGTTGTCTCAAGAATGAAATCAGAGATGTGAATTAATCGACCAGCGTTTTTCGATCGTATTTCACTGGTTCCAGGGAGCAGCCAAGCCAACCGAGGCCTCTCTTTTGCATGAACTGTGGACTCATCGTGAAAGATGAAGACGGTCTCTTTGTTATCGCCAAGTAGCTCTGGGTCGATTTCAGCCGAAAAATCCAAATCTTCACCTCCATATGTTCGGGATCGGCTTCTGTATTTCTTGTAGTCTTCGATATACTTCTTGCGAGAAGCTACGACATCAGGGCGTTCGTGTCCATCAAAATAGAGAGACTTTCGATATACTTGTGGAGTAAATCCTAGCTTAACCATCCAGCGAGTAATTGTACTCCTGACCAAGTTCTTTTCAATTCCGAACCTGGGTAGGAGTGTTTCCACAACATATCTTTGAAACGTAGCTGGAGTAACCTGTCAAGAAAGGGTTCAAGATTAGTGTGCTGCAATCACAATACAAGTGCATTATAGAAATGCATCTGACTTCACCGGGGATTTGAGAGGCTGCCCAAGTGAAAAGGGCCTGTCGAATTTCAATATTATCGATAAGGGATTTGTGGTTTGATCGGTTTCCCTGTGTTGAATCGAAAAGCTGCTTATTTATTACAATGTGCGAGGCTTGCTTTGATATAATCCTAGCAAGGTGAAGGCCGCTTCGTTGATTTTCAGGAGTATCTTGGGATGATGGATATCGTCGGATCGAAGATTGTGCAGCTTCCTTGGATGCAGTCAGGGAAGGGTTTTTTAAACCTTTGAGAGTATAGAGCTTTCGCAGGTAGTTGAATTCACTGAGATTTGCAAGCATTGCCTCGGGGTATCGATACTTCTTGTCTTGAGCAGCTTTTTTTTTATAGATAATAGCAGCAGAGTTGAGAGCTCGTTTCAGTTCGTCCCATTGAGTATTGGCTTTAAGTTTAATCGCATCCGACTTTGACAATCCAGAAGTTTTTGGAGTCGACAGATATTCATTCTGAATTCCCTCAAGACGAAGCGAAACCGAGTTATCAATGGATTCTACTTGGGCAACTTGAGGACTAGCGGTTGAGCTGATTGATTCTTCTAAGGAAGGATTGTTGGATTGAGTCGAAGAGCAAGACGTATTTGCTTTCTGGAGCCAATTAGACATGAGATTGTTATTCTTTCCGATCGCCTGGTTTTTTTTTTTTTCGGTCATGTTTAGTTTGTCGAGAAACGCTTGCTGGTATTAATCTTGCTGAGTTTGCGTTTGGATTTGCTAGAGGTTTTTGATAACCGTTTTTTCCAGACTTCAAGAAACGTTGAGGAGGAAGCAGCTCAGATTTGCAAGTGTGATTCTGTTCGAAAATAGACCAAAAGAGAGCTTGAACAGGCTCATCGTCATTGTTGCTAGGATTGTCCTCTTCATCGCTTGTATCTGGATCGTTGAGAGAAGCCTGAACAAATTTCATGATCTCGTTGGCTTGATCAATTTCCTGAATTTCAAGCTCCTGAAAGTGAGATATCTCGCCATGATCGTCTTCATCTGAGGGAATTTCAAGACTGATTGGTTGATTTGTTTCGTCATCGCTGTTGGACTCAAGCACAATTGGATTACCGTATTCTCCATCCGAATCGAGGGTGATTGTCTTTCTTGTTCTTTCTCCCTGGGAATCGAGAGTGAGTGTGTCCAGATTCTTGGATCCTGAAGCAACAGTTTTTTTTGGTGCCTTTTTACGTTTTGGAACTGGTTGGTCATGTGATCGTTCCGCATCTTCACGGCGTCGCCTTGCCCGTTGAGATTTCTGCGCATTGCTAAGAGCCATAAGTCTGAAGTGCATAGATTGTATCAGTTTGCATTTCATTATAGTGAGAATGAAGAAAAAAACTTACCAAACACACTCAAGCTATAGCAGAGTATGTACCTGTTCACGTGTGAGGATAGTTGACTACATATGTATGTATAGTATAGCCTGTGGGGGTTTAATGTACCTATGTATTGGCCTTGAGGACTACTTCCTGGACGTCATATTTCCGTCTCACCCCCCTCGGGGACCCTAAACATCAGAAATTTTTTAGTCCCCTACCATTCGGACATCCTAAAAGCTTGTACAGTAGAATGCCGCGCGCCACTGTATGTGTTTACATTTCTGATACGGGTGGGGAATGTGGCTTCTGTAGTGCGCCATGCCCTGTATGATTTTCAGGCTGTATTTGACCTTTTTCAAAATTGATGGCTAATTTGGCGGTTCAGTGCCATGCATGGCGGCTCAGGGGCAATGATGGCGGCTCAGGAGCATGGGTGGCCAATTTGGCGGTTGGATTCATTTTTCAATTTGGCCATTCTGGCGGTTCAGGGGCGTCATTTGGCGGTTGTTTGGCCAAATTGGCGGTTCATCCCCATGTTTTCATTTTTTTTGGCCAAAATGGCTGCTCAGTACCTCCATAAATAAAGGGGGAAAAAGGGAAACTAAGGTTAAGAAAGTTAAAAAGGGAATAATGGGAAAAAAAGGTAAAGGTGTAAATAAGGTTATGTATGAAAGTGAGATGGGGGAAAAAAGGGAACAGAGGTACTAAAAATGTGACAAATAACAAAAACAGGAAAACAAAAAGAAAAGAAAAATAATGATTAAATATCAATGGTGGCCAGAAATGTCGGAATCATTACATATCCCCTGTGCCAATTCTTTGGATTGCTTCCCTCAGCCTGAGGAATTTTGCTTCAAGCCTCCACTCGCCCCCTGCATTTACTTTAAAAGACAATATACTGACAACACCATCCTTGCTTCCTCCTCATCACAGCCTATGTCTTACCAACAATATCACCTGGGGTCCCACCCAAACCACAGTGGCAGGGGTTACCCCTCTGAACACCCTCCGACACACCAGCCCACTGTTTGCGCAGACAACAACGGCTCTCCGCCACCCATCCGTCACGACTCACGTCCTGCCAACCGCCCGGCCAATCACGTGTATGGAGCCACTCATCACAGCGGCCACCAGTCTGGCACTCCACCGGCCAACCTCCCTGGGGCCCCACACAGACCAGGAACCAACTGGGGCACATCCACACAGTCTGGCCCCCCACCGGCCAACAGCTATCACCCCTCACTGGCCAACAACTATGGCCACCCTCCACCCAACTATGGCAGCCCCGCACAACCACCGGCCAACTACAATGGCCCCATACGGCCCGACAACTATGGCCAACCGCTGGCTATCAACTATGCCCAAGCACAGACCAACAACAATCAGCCCGCACCACCACCACCCAATAACTATGGTCCCCAACCGCCCAACAACAATGGTCCCCCACCAGCCATCAATTATGCCCACCCTCCATCCAACTACTATGGTTCCCCACTGATAACCACAATGAACCAACAATTGCCCAACACGTATGGCCTTGGACCGACCGGGAACTATGACTCAGACATCTACGGTGTACTTCCTCCCAACAACATTTCCAACCTATGATCAACCCCATTCAGCACCCAGGAAACGACTACTGCATTGCTGCGGGCAACAATTACTCCGTCCTGCCAGTGGCCGACCACAGGGCACCATCAGTCCTCAGCCATCCTGGCCATCCTACAAACATGAACACCACCAGAGTGTCCGACATCGTCCGCAACCCACATTTGAATCAGGATCACGCACACGGGACAAATGTCTACAATTATGCAGCCACCCCAGGAAGTGCAGACCCACATGCTTCTGCCGATTTGTCCCACGTGGCCCCTGCCGCACAGGGACATCTCATTGCTCCTGGGGGTCAGATTTCAAACTACAACAACAACCCAAATTGCAACTTGGGCTCCAGCGGGTATTTGACCTCTAGTGATCGCTCCCCTGCCATGCTGCCTGTGGACCCGGCTAGTTACACATCGGTTTTTGAAGACGGTCTCAATCCAGGCGACGAATTTCACGAGCTCCAATCAAGTTTGGCAGCCAACCATGTTGATGATGCTGGGTCGCTCGTTCTGGCGTCAAACACCAGCCTTTCTGCAACATTCGGAAATGCTGCACTTGATTCATCCTTGGGCGCCCCGTTTGGTCCAACCTCGTTAGATATGGGATCCAATGGTCAAATGTTAGATGTCAAAGTGGACGTTCGGATGGATGAACAAGGCGATCAAGGGGGATTGGCCGAGGTATCAGAACCCCATGAAGGTCAGTCGTGTGATGCATATAATGCAGTGGGACCCTTGTTGAGTGATTATTTTCTCGTCTGGTAAGCAGAGGCGCCAGGCACAGAGGTCACAACAGGCAACCCCGCCATTCGGGCTGATGGGGACATTCAAAAAGACCCCAAAACAGTGGTGTTGACACGTGCAGAGGTTGACAAGTTTGACTACTCCATCGGAGGTGAGTGGAGCTCCGGAATGGCTTGAATATATGATTGGGCTGAGACTGACATGCTTGCAATCTTTCAACAGCTCCTATGGATGATCCCCCACTGTACCGCTTCACTGATGCAGATGCCTTGAGAGAATTTGCTCAAAGGTGGGCAAGGTCTCATGGGTACAACGTCCCAACTGGACAATCACATAGAGGGAAAAATGTGTATTTGGGTTGTTCATTGGGCGGGGAGGACCGGAGGCCAGCCGGCGTGGCGAGGGAACGAGAGTCCCGCAATCGTAAGATCGGTTGTCTGTACCGTTTATCTGGCCATCACTCAAATGCGAAAGAGTTCCCAAACGCTACCTGGCAACTACGGGCTTCACGTTCACCTCACAATCATGGGCCAATCAATGTGAAATGTGAGACCGTGCACAAAAGGCTGGCTCCAGAAGTGCAGGAGGAGTTCGATCGTCTACACTCGCTTGGTCTGAAACCTCAGGCAATTGCTCAGATGCTCAACAAGTCAAACGGGGAATTTGTGTCACTTCACACAATCTACAATACGACTGCCGCGGCAAGAAGGGCCAAGATGTCTGGTGAGACTCCAATCCAATTCTTGCTCCGTACGGTCCGAAGTTTGAACTGGGAACATGACACAGCCTATGACGCAAAAGGTCAACTTCTATACCTATGGTTTGCTCATCCGGAGGCACTGAGGCTCGCGCAGAGGTTCCATCACGTTGTTCTGATGGATTGCACGTACAAGACGAATGTCACCAACTATCCCCTCTTGCACATTGTGGGACAATCTGCGACCAACATGACGTTTTCGATTGCGTTCTGCTTTATGCGGAATGAGACTAATGAGGCGTATGCATGGGCATTGAATAAGCTGTCGTGAGTGCTCTCTTGTTTTTTCCAAGTCCAAGGTAAGGGCTAATGAGGTCACTATGTAGTGGTGTTTGGGCCCCTCAAAGGAGCCCACAGGTGTTTGTCGCAGATCGGGAGAAGGCCCTCAGGAAAGCAATCTCCGTACACTTCCCAGACGCCATAAACAACGTATGCTTGTGGCATATTGACCAAAACATCCGGGCTAATTGCCAGCGGTCATTCCTAAAAGACCAGGCCGAATGGAACGTATTCAAGTCAAAATGGAACGAAGTACAGTACGCCAAGGACGAGGCAACGTATGACGCCGCTTGGGCTAGGCTTGTGGAATATCTTGGCGAGGAGCGTGCGGTTGTTGTCGAGTATCTCATGGATAATGTGTTGCCGGATCGATTTTATTTCATGACCCCGTGGGTTTCGCAGACCCCACACTTGGGTAATCAAACTACCGCTCGTGGGGAATCGGCACACAGCTGGCTCAAGTCTCACCTGAACAGCCACAAGGCGGACATGGCAATTGTATTTGAAAGAATAGCCGATGCAGTTAGCGAGCAGGTGAGAAGGAACGTGGTAAACTTGGAGAACCAGGAGGTTTCCTCTTTGTCTGGAATCGTGCCACCTTTCAAGCATCTCCATGCATGTTTATCGATCCATGCGCTACATCTGGCCAATGCTCAATATAAAATATGGAAGGAGAAGGCGTGTGCAAAGGCTGGGGGCGCAGATGACTCGGAGTGTACTGGGAGCTACAAGGCGAGCATGGGCATTCCATGCTGGCACATGCTGGCGGAGATCTTGGAGAGGGGCGATGAAGTGCAACTGTCTGACTTCCACCCTCAGTGGAGCTTGACTTACAACCCAGATAATCCGGTAGGTGATATTTTCTGTCTTGTAAGAAGTACTGTTACTGAGCATATGTGTTGATTTTGGCCACCCCCCATTAACAGGAGGAAGAAGAAAAATATGACTTCAATAAGGATTATGATGAGACCCTGAAAGCGGAAATATTGGCGCTCCACGGCCCTCTGACTTTGCCCGGACTGATGAAAACGTTTAGACAGGTCTTGTATAACACACATGTTGTTCCAATTGCGCCTGATATTGAGCCAGTACGCAAGTCAACAAGGAAGGCTTCCAAGAAACGCAAGAAACTCGGACGAGGCCAAGTGGCCAAACGTGATCCAATATACGCCGAGGTGGTTGACGAGGAAATTGACAAGGCCCAAAAAACCAAGAAGAAAGCCACGAGGAAAATTGCTGCTCACGACAAGCTGAAGAGGGCAAGGGCTCTTCAGCTGGGTCGGAAACCAAGGGTCAAACGCAAGGATGGCACTGATGCAAGGGCTCCAGCTACTATTCTCGGGAAAAGGAAACAAGAAGTCAGCTTGTCCCCTTCAGGGAAAAATGGGGTGAAATGCCCACCAGGTGCTGCAGATGGCTCTGAGGGCAATAACACATCTTTGGATTCCTCTGAAGTCTCTGAAGAGGAGTCTGATGAGGAGCTAGCAACTGCAGATGAATATGAGGAGTCCTCATGCGCAGATGGCGAGGGTGATGTAGACATGACGCCCTCAGGTGAGGGCCTAGATACCCCTCTGGTATGTCTGATTTTCTGCCTGTTTGTTTGAATGATCCGACATTGGCTGAAACAGATCCCTTCCCCATGGAAACGCCTCTCCTAATTGCAAGGTCCCCAATACTGCTGATCCGCAGGGGAGCATTGGTTCAATACCTACGGTGCCCGGGTTACCTCATGATTTTCATGTGGGTATATATTTCTTTTTGCGAATGAGTGATCTGCTGAAACGTGCCCAGTTGACACTGGCAGAACCTGTTGATTTACACAGTTACCTGCTCCTTCAGTCTCAACCGGCCAGACTGAGGAGGAGCAACCCAATATTGCCCAGGCTGAGGGGGAGAATCCAAGTGTAAGCCTCATCTGCTGTTTCACCATCAGGCCATCCGCGATTACTCATATGTCTTTGGGATGCGACCAGGGAAGTGCCCCCCCAGTGGGATCAGAGCTCAAGAGGACTCTTAAACAAAAATGGGTCCCCAAAAGGGTTGGTGTCCTGGTGAGTTGGCCCCCTGGATTTTCCCTCATGTCATTCAATGACAATGAACTCACATGTCACCAACTATTCATGTCTATCATCTCACACAGAAGCCCACCATACCGGGGCTCCCCTCGTGGATCTCCAACTATGTGCAATCCACTTATGACCCCCCAGGCGATGGGAACTGTGGTTACCGGTGTGTTGCACATCATTTGGCAGTGGTTTACCCCAATGGCCCCTATCACCAGGAAAAAAAATTAGGAACCTTTATGGAGGTGGTTTCACTGTATTCCCTGACTTACTCCAGCTGTATCCTTCCTGTATCCCTGATGTGCACCTATTTTATCTATCTTCCTATATGATATATATTATCAGAATATAATTCTGCTTTTGAGGACAATTTATATGGAGTTTTTTCTACAACATTTCTCAAGATTTCATTTGTTATAGAATTTTCTAAGGCAAGAAATACTTGTATAAAAAATCATTATAAATAAATGATATCTCTTTGCAAATTTGAAAGAATAATCATTTCTCAAATCCAAATTATTGTTTGAGCTTTGATGAGAAATTTTTCCAGCCATATTCCATGTGTTACTATAGTACTTGGGACACTTGACCTTACAACTCTGAAATGAGCCAGTCATATTATAAAAGTGCATACATCACCCCAACAGCTGTATCCATCACTGCCACTTCTACAACTTTGGCAGCTGAATTCAAGATATTGACAAGCATGAAAATTCATAAAAATAGTAAGTAGATTGATCAGGTGAAATTCAAAGCTCTATAAATAGTCATCACAACACTTCTGACATGCCCTCCTGATTTCTAAATAATTATACTTTTGACCTAAAGTCATGTACCAACACTTACAATTTCTATTTTATGTGGTATGTATCTAATATGTTGTGATTAAACATGTCAATCTTGATAATCAAATTGAAGTCA